AGCCAATCTATTCATTCTACTTGAGTCACATTTTGACCTTGTTAATTATTCACTTATCAAATATGACTATTCTTATGTAAGCGTATATGTGTGTATTTCTTATCTTACTCATCATATATCCGTAGCTTATTTCTCCTCCAATTATAAATATTCAGTCACGTTTGATCAAATCGACTTGGCTTACCGGTTTGTTTTGCTTTCTGATCAACGATTTTACGAAATATACATATCCAAAAATCCATTCTCATATCTGACTTATTTAATTCCGTTATTCACTAAAGTGATTTAAGTTGATGATCATTATATACAAGAATTGGTGACATGTATATTTCAATCAATAACAATAAGAAACGATCAAATTAGAGTCAGATATTCAAGGGCTACTAAAATAATTTTAAAAAAATATAACATGAAGTTCGTTTGCATGGTATATTTTCATGATTATCATATCACTTAACATTGTTTATAAATCGTTATTAAGAGAACAATATAAGAAATATAGAAATGAGTTTCCACAAAGTTAGTCAGTTTTCGACATTAGATTTTTTTGGCAGAAGTATCAGGAGTATTGGTTCAATAAACTATACTTATTTATTGTTATTATTATTATTGTTATAAATTAGTATATTTGAAGTAGTATTTTAATGAATACAGAATGATGAGGAAAGACGTTTAGTCGATTTATTCAATGAAATTTCATGTTATATTTTCAAGAAATTTTTTTGATCCATATGTCCTTTTTTTGAAATGTTGAAGTAGCCAAAACGATCAATAATTTAATCTCTATCAAATATTCGTTTACTCAAAGCAAATTGTTATTATTGAGTTTTGAACATGTTTGATGACATAACTATTTTGTAACAGAATGAGTAATTTTAAAATGATGAATGATTATTTTGGTACAAAGAGTTTTCATATGCTAATACTTGTCCATTAGTGAAACTGGAAATATGTCTTAGTGATTAAGGCGAAATGGTGAGACTATAATTTATGGACGACTTTTGAGCGACACTGAAGTGACCTTGAGAGTGGACACCTACTGATCAGAACTTAATGGGGGTTTTAAAACCGTTAGAATTCTCATTTACAGTTGATGGTTAGGGTTAGAAATTAGATTTTGGGTTTTCATTACAAACTGACACCAACTATAATACCGAAATTCTATTAAGTCAAATGTATGAATGAATTTCGCGCCAAAATGCGTGACTTGTTGTCTTATATTTGATTGGTTCGTCCATAAATTATAGTCTCGCCAAGCAAACTATAGGTTTAATTGACATTTGATTGAATTTCATATGTCCATCGTAACTAGAAAGTCATTAGCTCAAAAGCGAAAAGAAGATAGCAATATTTACTCGCTCGAATACAAACTCTATTGTATTTATATGAAATAAATAAAAGTAGATGAATCTTGATCTCGTCACCGAATCGATCAACTAATAAAAAACTATGTATTAGTTGTTCGAATTAGATCACGTCTACCATCGATCTGCAGAGAGCTATTTCCAAGATTGGTAGAACTCGATTGTAAAGGTTAATGTTTTGTGATAAATGCTACTTCAAAACTTTGAGCACATATTCAGAAATGTGATCGAAATCATGGAACGTGTAGTGTTTTTGATGAATGATCAAATGTTATCATTTTTGTGTGATAGATTTTTGCAAAATATAATGTGAGATATCTATAAAACGTAAAACAGTTTGAACAATTAGACTGTTAGCACTAATGAGGAGCATACATTAAAGAACACATATTTCATTAGTGTTCAATAGGTTTAGGGAAGGAATACACTTTCAGCAGGTGTTATATCAGTTTGATATAATTACTAGTTGTTCCTGGCTTTCAAATCATACTGCAATGATGTCATGTGTAAGATAATGTTGTCATCATTCACAGTGAACACATACAGTACAACAATAACAAATCATAAAGATGAACAAGTTTCCTTATGAACTATTCTATCAGGAAGCCAAATTAGTTAAAAGAAAACAACCAAGATGATAGCAAAAGGTTAATTTTTCTGAATTCGTTTCTGATAATATTGAGGTATAAACAAATTTTTGTAGGGTTGTTGTTGCTAAACCTCATCTACTATCCTTTATTTAATAATTTCTTATAATGTTAATAATTTACTCAACCTGACTGATCCATTCTTTGACATATATTTCACAAGATACTGTTTAATAAATGTTAATTAATTCAAAGGTAAAATCTGCTTATGAAGAAAGTAACTTTGTTTTACTTGAGAGTAATTTTGAAACTGTCTACATAAATCGTTGAACCACTTAGTAAACCAAAAAACAAAGAGTGAGATGCTTAAAATTATCTAGTTTTGAGATGGTAACAAGTAGTTTTAGTAAAAATACATGATCAACGGAATTTTTAGATTGGACAGTGGCTGATTGGCAACACTGGATTATTGTTGTGATGATTCATCAACTGATTCAAGTTAAAAATGTGAATCGCTGGGTTTTCATTCCACTTTTTAAAGATCTAATCGTAATAAATTTATTCCTATGTGGATTCTTGGCTGTACATCATTTAATCATAACAACAGATGTAAGCAAAACAACTGACTAGTTTTTTATATTTCTGGTAGTTGTCCAGCGGACTACAGAAACGTTTTTCAAATCAAACCGAATACTTCAAAATTAAAAGCTGTTTATGTTTACAGAAAATTCTCTAAGTAAAACATTGAGAAGTATATGCTAATTTTTCATTTCAATTTTGTTTTTCTTTATCATTGTAACATTAAATAATTTAATATTATCGTGCCAAAATGAGCGTGTGTAAATTTGTCAGATGGGAAATTATGTAGTGCAAAAAAATGTACTCTGTTGTCAAATGAGAACTATCAAGGGTCTGTCCAAAATAGACTAGTTTCTAGAAAAAAAACATAATCTCTTATTTATCAAAGTAAATGAATATAGACTCAGAAAGAAAGGAGCATGTTAAGTGTTTCTTTATGTATTAAGAAAATTCCATCAGACAGTATCATTAGAACAACAAGTGTAAGCGAGAATTACTGCTTTCAATTTGATCGTTCTCAGGCAGTAGTATTCAGATGCACGAAGAAAAAAATATTAAACTAATGGATACAATTTGTAAGACAATTATAATAATGAACTACATCACATAATTAATCATAATAATTAAAAAAGTACAAATTAGAAGTGCAGCGACAAGCGTCCTTGTAGTGATAAGAATGATAATAGCTTAACTAGATGTTCCGAAGTTAGAAGTCGACAGTTGGAAGAATCAGCATTAAAATAAGAACCATTAAAATGTGCTCAAACTATGTGATAATGAGTAGGCAGATAATCGGCATAAATATAAAAATAATGAAGCGGAGATATAAACGGAAGTGAAAAAAACAAATCAACGGATGAATAGTTAATGAAATCAGTTATAAATCTTCTCTAGCCATAGAGAGTATAGACCTATCCTAAATTTCGTCACAACATACAGACTAGAGTTGTAGGCTCGAGTTTTTGTAACTTCTAGTATACGTAAAAGACACGATCGAACTTTTTTTGAAACTGGTTCAATTATGATAAGACGGAGATAAGTATTGTCATTTTTGAACGTTTGAACGTACAGAGATGTTCACTTATTCGTTGGTTAAGTTGATAGATGATACGACAGATATAAATTTCTTCATGGGAGTGGCCGAATCGGTGAATACGCACTGAACGCCTGGAAAACAACAAGCTATGATTATCTATGTGTAAAATGTACTACGGAAGGGGATTAGGGCCAAAGGAGGATGAGAAATTGAATCCATCGTTTTCGCACGCGGAGTCCGGATTTGAGACAGTTGTTTGCCAACGCCTCAGAAGTGCATAAGTTTTAGACCCGACCTCCCTTTGGTCCAGTTCCTTTGATTTTGTAGATTATTTTGAAGGAAGATCCTTTTGGAGAGACGTGTCCAGAATTGGTTAGGTACTCTTATGTTAAGCTGGTGATTGTTTTGCATTTTCCTTTTAAAAGCCACATAGGGTAATGCTCTGAGAGGCGTTTGGAATGTGATCAATTTGTGCGGCCAATGTAACCTGCCCCATAGGAGCAAGTAAATTTATAGATGTACATCGATATTTGGAATCTCAAATCAATTTATGATTCAATCTTTTCTATCTTTCCATAAATATATATTTGCTGAACAACTATAAATACGAATTCTCAATTCCAGTTAATGATTTCGTTGAAAAGAAAGTTTTTTTCGCTGACTTCTCCTTATTTTTATTCAATGAACAATTAGTTAACTCGATTAAAATAATTTGTTTCAATGACATGCACATTTGAAAGAATAAGGAAGTACTATTTAATTTCATACTCTCAGTTCTCAAACTTTAACATAACATAAACTGTTTCATAAACTACTGTTTAACTCTACCAAAGATTTATTTTTCAACTCAAGGTAACTATCAATGGCTGAATGCGATACAGATATCAACATTTGATTTTGTATCGCAGATAAAAGTTTCATTTCATATATTTCCACGCATATAAATTTATGCAACCACTAATACATTCTTCTAAGATTGACTTTTGCATAGAAGATGTAACAATAAAAGAAATCGCCGTGACCAGTGAAGCTAATCTATGTCGGGTAGACACATGTATCTACCTCAGTACAATGGAAGATGGTTGAGGTTAGACATTAACACCGTCAGATGCTGACTTTGTGGTCTAGAGGTTAAGCGTTCGTGCGCGAGACTGAAGTCCTTGTATTCGAATCCTGCGAACAGGATCGTGGATGCGCACCGTTGAGGAGTATTACAAGAGGATGGAACGACCGTCCAGTGCTTCTAGGTTTCAATGATGGTCTAAGATCAATCACTTCATGATCTCGATCGAAAAATAAGAAAAATTACTGGCGTTTTCTATTTTAAACATAACTTCTAATATCAACTTCAATATATACCTTAAAAGTCCTATACATTCAAAAGTTTTAGTCATTTCAAGATAATCAGAATTATTTATTAAACATTAAACTCACCTTTTTTTCATGAGATTGAATTGCATTCTTAATAGTGTTTAAAGGATTTCCGCGATCATGTGGTTTTGAATTTATTGTACCACCTAATAAACAATGTAGTTCATCTGATGTACGACAGAGATCTACACAACTTATTGCAAAATCCATACATTTAACTGCTAATTCTGAATATTCCTCCTGAAATTAAGAAAAAAAAAACGTTTGTACATTATGCGGAAATTAACAGACTTAAACGATAATTCTACTATATATTGTTGGATAATACCTATGAATAAGAGGAACTACAACGAGACATTGAGATGTAGTAATATGAAATAAATGCAAAGTACTTGCAAATTTAATAGTATTATTTGTAAAGTTTTTACATCTACACTGGCCTACTTTCATATTTGTTGACTCTAGTTAACGGTTCTTTTTGCAATACTTGTATTTAATTAATTTTTAGTCTTCTGATGTTTCTTCTTCAAAGAGATGAATGACTCTCTCCATGTCTTCTTAATAACGTACCTGTAGCGAACGAGAACGCAAGTGGGGAACAATCGAATGTATTTGAATACAAAATTACAAAATCTCTTAATAAAACCTAAGAACCATACAGTAAGTATTTCATTTGAAAAATGTCAATCAATTGTCTTGGACTTCATTGTTTCTTCATTTTCTTCTGCCTCCAGGTATTTCATTTTCGACTGATGATACATACTACTTATATCTATCGACACCAGTAGCACACACCACATACCTACTTGATTCTATAAAATTTTTAATATAGTGTAAAACAATGGAGTTTCATTCAAGAACATTTTTTGGTTCTGAGAAAAATTGCTATCATACTTATTTGCAGAAGAGAAAGAGAATTCAGTGAAGAAAATTTTCTTTTCGATGAAATCATTTACTCAAACTGTACATTCGCATATATGGTTATATATGGAAAATATATGTCTGTAGGAGAATAGAAAAGATTGCATCACCAAAAATGGATTCGAGAATAAATAACAAATGATGTTACGTACTAATCAAGGGGTAACGAAGAAAATAATTTATAGGTCAGATAATAGTCCAATTGACAAATATGAAGAAAAGAACCAACACAAAGATCATACTGATAGACTGAATAATTATCAACAAAACTTGTATAAGGTAATAATAATAACTGATTAGAGTCTAAAATGTAAAACAGTAATTTATAAAGTTCAATAATGATCAAATAAAAGTGCAGAAAAACAAGCAGAAAAAAAACAACCCCGAAAAATACCCATCAAAGGAATTAGGGCTAAGGAAGGATGAGGGGTTGGACAAATCGTTTCTGCACGCAAAGTTCAGGTTTGAGTTCATGGATTGCTAATGCCTCAGCAGTGCATAAAATATTTATTCGACTTTTACCCCTTCGATCCACTTTTTTTGACTATGTAGATTACTTTAAAAGAAGAATCTTTTGGAGCGACGTGTCCACAGTTAATTAAATCCTCCTGTATCGAACTTGTAATTGTTTTACATTCTCATTTTAAGAGCCAAGCCGGATAGTGTTCTGGGATGTGTTTGGACAGTGATCGTTTTGTGAGGCCTATATAACGTTATATACATGTACAGCTGAAATTTCTTTTTCTTATTCAATTACATTACGGGTTATTTTAATTATTTGCATGACCTTATCCATAAATTTATCAATAACAGCTTATATATATTAGCTAAAATTGATAGTAGTATTAACTGAATAACTCATTCAAGTGGAAAAATAAAAGTTTATATTAGAGAATAATATAAACAAATATAGGATAATTAGTACTTGTTTATCGTAAATCTCTTCTTATAATTAAAAACAATTAAACTTATATAATTTCAATGGTTGAGATCATGAGTCGATTGAAGCTAGACCACCATAGAAAACCCTGAAGCATTGGACGGCCATTTCGTCTTATTGTAGGACTCCTCAGCAGTGCATATCCACGATCACGCCCCCGCGAGATTCAAACTCGGGATCTATTATTCTCGCATGCGAGCAGTTAACCATTAGACCACTGAACTGGCCAGCATCCAACGGTGTTAATGTCTAACTTCAACTAATCCACCATTGTCATCAGTGAGTAGATATCTCACAACAGACCTGGTTGTACTCCACTCGTCAGTGCTTCTCACTAGAACTCCAGGATATATCTCTTAAAGCCAGTCACTAGTGAGCATATGTTGATTAGTATCAGAAGGGGTTTTATGGATATTATAGTAATTTCAATGGTCGAAATCATGAGTCAGCTGAAGCTAGACCAATTTATTTGAAACACTATGTTATATGAATATTATTTTGATAGATTAACCAACTATAAGAATTTAAATAAAACTTAACAATTTAATTACTACTAAACACTTACTTTGAACTGTTTTTCTTGAGAAGCTAATTGATAAAGTTCATTACGTAAAATAAATGCTGTAGATACTGGATCAGATGTAGTTAAAGCTAAATAAGCTGAACTAGATAATGCTTGATAGGTATGTAAGCGTTGTTGTTCTAATATCAATGAATCCTAAATATTATTGTTAAGAAGAACAAAAAAATAAAGATAAATTACTAATCAAAATTTCAATAAAGTAATAATTAACTTTTTAAATATAAATTATGAAAATATTTAAATATGGTTTGCTTTGAAGTTTATCCCATATTGTTATTTTGAAATAAGATCTAGATAACTTCACACCCATAGTTCCCTTTATTACTTTAAAGAGAGTAAGAACAAAGGTTGGTGCAGAACAATATGAATTCATTTTATTTCGTTAGGTTCTCATCAGCTGCTTACAACCTAAAATATTTGAAATTCAACGTTATTATAGATATTGACATACTTATACAACAGAGGGCGATGAAGGATGAATATATGTAACATAATGTGATAAAGATTTCGCTAGAGTTAATGAGGTCATAAAATTTTTGTTTCGAATATATAGAGTTTGGGAGGGAAGGTTCCAGAAAATTGAAATAGTGATTAAAAATCATGGAATTAAAACACATTAGACGATTATGTAATGAAGTAACTGAAAACAGATTAATGTTAATAAAGAGAGATATGAATTGAAATTGGTCAGTTGTGAATGATGTAATTACGTCATTCCAACTCTGAATTTTATATATATATATATATATATATATATATATATATATATATATATATATATATATATATATAGAATAACTGTTACTGTATCATTCGATAACCGAAAACTCGAAAGGGATTCCGAGTCATAATAAATGTCACTTTCCGAATATATAATTGATCGCATCTAAATTTCCATTCAATAACTTGAAAGTTATGAGATTACTAATATAAGTTATATGTTTAATTGAAATTAAAGCTGGGTATTTTCTGCAGTAGAACAAGAAAGGAACTGAGTACATTTCGTAAATTAACAATTATTCCCATTCCATTTTACGACTTGAAAAATGTCTGATAAGGGAATGACAAATATTCACGATGATACTAACGTATGGATTGTATGTTAATAAAGCTTTGAGGATTAGTAGAATTCTATTTGAGATGCATATACTTTCTTATTCAATTTAATTATATAACAGCTGATGAGAAATAAAATACCATGTTTATTTGCAAAGATGGATAGTGGCTAGTAGTGGAATCTAGGACTCATGTTTCGTCTTATTTGGGACTCGTCAGCTGGATGTATCTGCATCCCAGAGTTGATATTCACTGTGTGACTCAAACCCAGTACCATTCTCTTAAAACACCATCGCGTTATTCACCTAGCTACTAACTTCAGGCAATATTGAGGCAGTCCGCATAGGATGAACATATGCCAACAAGAGACTGATCAATTGAAGTTCTAAATAACTATGGGTAGCTACAAGTAAACAACACTGAATGAATCATGTTTATTTATTTAAAATACTAACTAGCGACGAAACAGTAAAATACTTTTCAGCTTAAAATTCTGTTTGTGTTGAGACAACTGTTGTTCATTTGACTAATATTTTTTTTTAAAAATCATGATATTTACAGCTTGAACGCTCAACCTCTAAACCGCTATACCAGATGAGTTGCAATTTTAACCGTGAAAACACTACAATATTCACAGATCTCCAAGTTGATAACAATCATATACTCACAGGTGACTAACTTCAAGATGTAACTCCTAGAGTTTCAGTGAGAAACCGTGATCATTGGATTTCGTCCGTGTAGAGTGTGATGCAGTTACCCAACGAAGATAATAGAAGGTGGTCGAGCTACATCGTGGATTGTTTAAAGTTAAACACTATCACCGTTGAATGCCTGCTCAAAGGTCTAGAGACTAAGCATCCGCGCGCGAGACCGGGGTTCTCGATTTCGAGTCTTGTGGGCGAGGTTGTGTATCCGCATTGCTGAGGAGTCCCATACTAGGTTGAATTGGCCTTCCAGTGTCCCCAGGTTATCAGTGGTGTTTTAGCTTAGATCGACCTTTGACTTCAACTGTGAAAATCCTATGATCTCCCCAAATTGTCATACTGATTTCCTAGTAATAAATTTGGCTTATTTTTATCTTAATTTATGTCACACGCAATTATGAAGATTTTGAAACTGTTTAGAGTTTTCTATTCAATTCAATATTCTAATCACTTTATCTTTTAGTCGAAAGGCTAGTAAGTTTATTGAACTAATTCATTTTAAATATTTGTTAACAAGGATCTTGTAAAGTAAATATGATAAACAAATAAATGGATATGTGAATAGATACCTTTTTTGTATTTTTCTATTTTGCCACTTATATCTATGGTTTTACGACAATAGAACTACATTTCTGATGTGTATAGCTATTTTTATTCAACATTTATTTGCTAAATTAACTGTCTTGATCATAATTTCTCATAATTAACCTACATTCTGACATTCCTGAATTATTTAACTTTTTTTATTTACTACTTACTAAATGCTGTAATATTTATGAAACATTGATTGTGAAAAAATATGTAATTATGGACCAGTAAACGAATTGATAACAGACAATTATCGTTGATGTTCATTTCCATGAACAAATTTAAGAAGTCAAAAAAACCTCTTGCCAAATCATCATATAGAGTTATTACCATGGTCAGTATTAAGTTTTATGTGTTCTTGTTTAATTATTATAGATATGCCTTTTACCGTTGTAAAAAAGGAAAAAGTTTGAAAAACAACATTAATTAGAGTTGATTGAAAATAGAAATGTAAACCACTGGATGTTAATTAAGTGGTCGAAATGTTAAGAGTGATTTACAATACCTAAAATCCTTGAGTTCAATCCCCGATGGGGTCGTTGAAGCGCAGTGCCAATGAGTCCCATACTAGGTTGAAATAACCATCCATTGCTTTCTGGCCCACAATAGTTGTCAAACTAAGATAAGTTCTTGATGTGAACTATAAATTTGCTCAAGATTATTTTGTATTTCGTGTATCGCCAGTACGTTTTATTTCTATCTCTCTAATTCTTTTAAAAAAATTAGTCCCTTTGATAAATTTCGATAATTCAATAAGACGAAGTGTATCAGAATTATGTGATATATTTGCGCAATACGTCTTGAACAACCTGATCACACACATACTTGCTAAGACATTTTTATATGAAAATTAAAAGGTAAACTAGACAGGTTAAAGGTAAGTTGTAACAAAGAAAAACAATGTGATAACCACTCTAGATAATAAATCAGTATTATCAGGGTAGGTTAAGGGTAAGGACAAATTGTTTTTGAACGCACAACTATATCATATAATTCTGATAAACTTCGTCTTCTCATTACATTATCGAAATATCTGATTCTTGTTTCTTTTCCAGTACAATTAATTAATCAGAAGGTAACCATTATATTATCAGCGCATATTTGTCTGTTGCATGCGTTCTCTCAACTTGTAATATATATTATACAAGTACTACAAGAAAAAAATTCAATCAATCGGTTCATGATCTCAATCAAAAAACTTAATAATCTCCACAACCCCTATACTAGTAATTACCATGTGCTCACTAGTGACTAGCTTCGTGAGGGAATTCTCGGAGTTCTAGTGAGAAGCCGTGACCAGTGGAGCTAATCCTTGTCGGGTAGAGACAGGTATCTACTTCAGTACAATGGAAGTTGGTCGCGCAATTGCGTGGATTGGTTGATGTTAGAAACTATCACCATTGGATGCCGGCTCAGTGGTCCAGTAAGTTAAGCGTTCGCGCGCGAGACCGAAGGCCCTGGGTTCGAATCCCGCTCGCGGGGTCGTGGATGCGCACTGCTGAGGAGTTCCACAATAGGACGAAACGGCCGTCCAGTGCTTCCAGGTTTTCAATTGTGATGGTCTAACATCAATGGGTTCATGATCTCAATCAAAAAACTTAATAATCTCCACAACCCCTATACTAGTAAAAAAATTCAGATTATGGTATTTATAGATAGTCTACATAATTCACTAGGTATTGTTTGGCTTGTATCTTCCCATTGAGGTTTAAGACTGCAATTGATCAGTCTGTTATTGGCATATGTGCTTACTGTGAGTATGCCTCGATATTGCCTGAATTCACAAGCTTTTTGTAAGCAATGATGGATAGTGGCTAGCATATATGTCATTAACAGACTGACCAATTACAGTCTTAAACCTCAATGGGAAGATACAAGCAAAACAATATCAAGTGAATTTAAATTCACCCCATTGCACAAACAAGTGGCTATCAGGACTCAGTAACTGAGTGAATAACGCGATGGCGTTTGAAGCGAATGATACTGGGTTCGAGTCACAGAGTGAACATGAACATTGAGATGCAGGTACATCCCAAGTAGGATGAAACGCGAGTCCTGGATTCCACTGCTAACCGCTATCCATCAAAGCCTACATAAGTTGATAAGTTCATATGCTTATAATAGGAATTCATAACATTAGAACAATAATGTTAATGACAATACAAGTAATCAAAGTTAGTCCTACGCATTACTAATCAGACATAATCGTTTTTTTCTAGCTGATAGATGATAATGAATGATAATTCTTTACACATCTTTGTTATAATTTCAATGACAAACCTAAATATCCTCATAAAGTGTCAGACATAATGTGAAGTACACGATGTCTAACGGTAAATAGAATGCAAGATTTATAAAATAATATATAGAGATTTTTATTCATGACTAAATAATAATTTATGAAAGTAAGCTCATTTGTACAATCATTTATTGTATACAAAATACATTAGTTCGTTATAAATGACCATAGTTTCAATGTAATACACATCCGTTCTCATTATCATTTCGTTAATTGTCCTTTCTTTTTTTAAAAAAAATAATTAGTTAATTTAGAATAATAATTATCGTCATTGAGTTCTTCCTGAAAAAAGCTTTTAATTCAATATACATACTTCCTATATACAGTAAATGAGAGGTAATTAACTGTTGTAAGGTTATTCATTATATGTTAAATACATTTGTTTATTATAGCTAGTTGTAAGCATATGTATCACCTAAAATTGTATCATTAGAACCATCGTATTAAGAAGAACAGAATTTGAGAAGTATAATCATAGCTTATTAATA